AGCTGGGTGAGCTCCTCCAGTCAGGACAGGAGGCTCTACTGTACACAGAGGGGGGTGGGGGTGGGGAACAGGCTGCCCAGCCCTGTGGTTGAAGCTGATACCCTGGCTTCTCTCCAGACACAGCTGGGTGAGCTCCTCCAGTCAGGACAGGAGGCTCTTCTGTACACAGAGGGTGGCAGGAGTACTTATATCTAGTTATATATATAAGTTAGAATTATATAATTACAAACTTAGCAACATTTATTTTGTGTTGTATGTTATAAAAGGAATTGGTTTTAATAATGCACACATAGTTTCAGAGAATAAATTAACATAGTTAATTAATATAAAAATGGTATTTATTTCAGTTTCACTTCCTCTTATCAGGGTAAGATAATCAATTCACAAGGTCCCAGAATCAGACAGTTAATTAAGTTGACATTGTAACAAACAACAGCCGAACAGAGAAAATCAGAAAGAGTTCTCAATACAATGTGAATGAATGAAATGTAAGAGTAATAAAACTATTTAAAGTATTCAAATGAATATCCCGTAATTAGAGCTAGACTGATATTCAGTTATTTAACAGTGTCTTGAAGGCACGAGGATTACTATATTATAATAAAAATGTGTCTCATGAGTGTATACAATATCAAAGGTGTTTAACGTCAGTGTGACTGAGGGCTTGGGTTAACTCACCCTTCCTGTCCGTCATGGTGCTCTTGTAGACCCCTGCGTTGTGTTTACAATAATTATCCAGGTCATCCTTGAGTCCTGCTAGGTATTCTTTATCCTGGTTGAATCTCTCTGCATATTTGATCCCAAGTGGTGTGTAGCCAACAAACGTCTGGATATTCGAGTCATAACGCAAAATCTCAATCTTGTTAAAAATGTCCCTCCTTGTGTAGAGAAAATCCTCCAGATGATCATTGTACTCACAGTCATGAACGAACTGGTACATATTCCCATCTGGAAGAAAAATGTTAACAGATAAAACACTCAAGGCAGGGTTCTCTGGGATTCATATAAAAAAGATGTGTGGTCATCTACAACATCCAAAATCTATTGCTCAATCAGTGTGATATAACCCTATATAACGCAGACCATGTGGTGCGATCGATCAATTGTTGTCTTTTCAAGTTATCAAAATACAATATTTTATCCTAATATACTAATCTATCACAGTACTATACAAGAAATGAAAAAGGGTGTTCGGGTCAGTAGACAACTGATGGGCTGTACTGTATATCTTGAGAGTCACATTAAGACAGCGAGCTCCTTTAGAGTTCTTGTCCTTAATTACAATGATAAAAGAGGATCTGAAATGTATTGACAAGTATGAAAAATTCTAATGTCATTCAGATCAGATCAGATCAGATCTCCAATGAATGATCACTGGGACATCTGCTCTGCTGAGTCCAGACACTGAAATGTACATTGAAATGACTTTTTAACCGAAGCCACCAGCACACTCACTGAAAAGCTGTGTGCACAAGGGATGAGGTGGGATCACTTACCCACTGAGCGCCTGGACCCGGTGCAGCCCAGGACGAGCACGGCGACGGCGAGGCGATGCAGAGGGCTGTCCATGGTGCAGCAGGCTGTGAGAGGAGCAGCACTGTGGCAGCAGCCCAGTGCAGGAAACCGACTCGTCTCCTCCCCGAGCGCTGTCAGCTGGGACCTGCACCAATCACCAGCCTCCTGCAATGGCATCACCTGTTCCTCAGCAGAGCGCAAGTCTCCTCCACACTCTCAACATCCACCACTAAATAGCCTTATTCTGTTTGTATTCTGTTTCTATCATCTGCGTCCAGGGCACAGAGAAAGCGTTATGTGACTGGTGATTGTAGTGACAGTAAAATTCTCACTGATAAATGTGCAAAACAAAACTCTGTCCTTAACACTCCATGTTCAGCAAGGATACCATCTTTCAAAGAAGGATTCACTATACCTTCTCTCCTCGTGGGATCTTCATCCATAACCATTTTTCACTTACAGTTAACAGATAAACAGATGTACTTACAGTATGAGCTGCAAGTTCAATATAATTACTGATTATTGATTCAACCCTGAACAGTAGATTATCTGGGAGGCAAAGAGATACAGTAGTGAGCATTACTATGTGCTGAGGCCCTGGGTTCAGACACAGTCCACGACAGGACAGAGACGTGCCTGTCCTGTCCTGTCCTGTCCTGTCACTGAAGGGACTGGAAAACTGCTCATGTGGTGCCCACCCATACAAAGACAAAATGAAATATAGAATAAGTTCAAGCACCATCATATCCGAAACAATACAGCTTGTAAAATTATGTAAAATTTGTCTTCACTCTTATTTAAATGATGCCAGTCCTTGGCATCATTTAAATCAGTGAGGACAAATCTATATAAAAAAAACTTTTGGTGCTGCCTCATTTTACAAGCTGTATAAGATCAGATCTCTTTATCAGCCCGACATCTCTGAGTATGAGGAGTGTGTCTTCTCACAGACCCCAGCCTGCTCTCCGTGAGACACACAGACAAGGAGAGAAGCTGGGGGTCAGAGCGCAGGGTCAGCCATTGCACAGCGCCCCTGGAGCAGCTGGGGTGAAGGGCCTCGCTCAGGGGCCCAACGGAATAGGATTCCTCTGCTGGCTGCGGGATTTGAACCGGCAACCTCCCAGCCACAGGCTCAGATCCTGAGCCACAGGGCCACCACTCCTTGTTATAGATATGATGGTGCTTGAATTTATTCTATATTTCATTTTGTTTATTAATTTCAGTTGCACATATTTATTAGTATTGTACTGCACTTTGAGATTGATGAAGTGCATTACAAAATGTATTATTACTATTATTATTGTGATCACTCAAAACAGGTAATTTCACATCAAGAGACTAAAGAACTGAATCTCTTCGGTCAGGAACAGAGAAGACTGTGAGAGGACTCGATTCAGGTCTGACAGGCAGTGACCAAGACAGCTCAGGAAACGTCTTCAAGATCCTCCGTGACACTGGGACCCAGGGACACAGGTGGAAAACAGGACTGGGAGCACATCCAGGACAGACAACAGGAGACACGTCTTCACACGGGGAAGGACTGGAGTCAGGAGCCAACTCCGAGATCATGTGGCAGAAGCTCTGACCCTATGATCTGCTACCATCTGGAAAACGGTACCGGAGCATTCGGGCCGGACTACCAGACTCAGAGACAGTTTTTATCCCCTGTATCGCATCTTTCCCAGGCACTGAGATAAATTCAGATTTTACTGCTCTGGGTGTGGAAAAGTGGATAGATCAGGACTTACTTCTGAACAATACATTTTACTTCCTTTTGGTCTTAGAAAAAAAACAACAAAATCAAGAATTGAGAAAGTTTTATTAACAGTAATTTTAATAAAAATGAAAGAGAATATTATTTGAATTGCAATGAAATGAGAGAAAGAATAAGTGTGACCATCATACAATTTTAAGAACTCATCCAGAAATCCCCATTCAAAACATAGGAACATCTCATTTGAAAAATACTGTATATACTGTATACAAAGCCATCTCATATCTATTACACATAAGAGATGAAAAATCTCAAACCCAGTAAAAAGCTAAGCAGTTCAGAAATCCATCTACAAGTTTCTAATGATTCTAACACTCATTTTCATGGTGTACCAGCAGAGAAAACAACAGGAGAATTTCACTCTTTTCCTTGATCATCAGAACGAAGTTCACTGTGTGAAGCGGATGTGCTGCAGCTGCTGTGAAAAGGGACTTGTCTCTTGATGGCAGCCTGTGCTCTCAGTTGCACTTGTTGCCCTTGATGAGGAAGAAGGTTCCGGCTGCCACTCCCAGCAGCCCCAGGGTCAGGCCCACCCCGCACACGGCTGTCTCCGCCGCCTCCGAGTCCGACTGCACCTCCACCTCTGAGGAGACACCAGCAACCATGCTACTGAACACTAGTATACTACTAAACACACGCATGTCACCAAACCGACGGAGCCTTTATGTCATTTCATATCTTAAAAAAATGGATAATATACTGGTGGCGCAGTGGTCATCATTTATGCCTCACAGGACTGGGGCTCTGGGTGGGTGCTGTCTGTGTGGAGTCTGCGTGTTCTCTCTGGGTTCCTGTGGGTTTCCTCCAGACCCTCCCACAGTCCACAGACTGGCTGGTGGGTGAGTGGGTGTGTGTGTGTGTGTGTGTGTCCTGTGTTGGACTGGTGTCCTGTCCAGGCTGTACCTTGCCCTGTGCCCAGTGCTTGCTGGGATAGACTCCAGCTCCCCTGTCATCCTAGGATAGGTCTTATACTTACACCTCCAGTTCTCAGAAGAGACAACCACATATCGTTCTTCTTTTCTTTTTGTAATATTAAAACCACCTTGTTTCTTATTCCCAGCAGATCTGGAACAGCCAGCTGTGTGTTTTTATGTCTCTGTGAACCCCACGACTGCACACTGCACAGGGAGGCTTCTAACTTCAGTTAGGATTTAATTTCAGCAACTACAACACCAACATTTCTGAAGTCATAAACTCTAAGATGAAGATAATGTCGGAAGCCTGTGAGCATAAAACTGTGACAAACAAAGATTGATTAAGAAAATTCTGTCTGTCCGTATCTTAAGATCAAACAGACCAGTGAAAGGGCTGAACCTGCAGTTGTGGTATTTGACCAGATCTTTTAGTATTGACATGTTGCCCCTTGGTAGGTGGGACCTGCGTCAGCATGCACAGGCTGCAGAGCAACAGGCAACGGGTTTATTCCTGCTGAAAAGAGAAGAAAGGAAACACAACGTTTCGGCTGTGGAGCCTTCTTCAAGGGGGCAGCTCACACCTGCGTTTCCTTTCGTCTCTCTTCAGCAGGAGGAGACCTTCTTCACCCGTTCCTCTGCAGTGAGGGGATGCGCAGGTGGTCTTGCGTCAGCGTACTCACCCCAGAGGCGTGTGAGGGGCTCCTGCAGGGCGCGGTGCTCCACACTGCAGGAGTACACGTCCCCAGCCTGGGGCGTGAAGCTCAGGTAGGAGAACAGGCGCAAGCTGTAGTCTTTATTGGAGTAGTACTGGGTGACGTTGAACCCCTGTGTCACCGGCTCCGTGTTCCTGGTCCAGGACACCTTAACGGGTGCAGGGTGGAAGTCAGTGATGAAGCAGATCAGAGCGTTGGGGACCCCCAGCTCCACCTCGTTCTCCGAGTACAATCGGGAAATCGGGGGATCTGCAAAGAGATTTTGTACATAAACCTCCAGTTAATATTTTCCTATATTTCTTCCACAATTGATCCACCAAAGCCGAAACATTTCTGGGAGTAAATCACAAGGAAATTTCAATTATTTGCACTGAGCCTGATTCTAGCTGGAGAACCTTTTGACAATTTTGTCATTGTCTCAGTCTTTTATTTCCATTGGCCTATACGCCATTCTGTAATCATGTTCCTCATAACAACAACCAAACACCAGTTTGTAGATGCTGTGGTTTAAAGCCTCTCACTTTTATTTTATCCTAAAAGTTTGGAATTATTTAAGTTGTTCTTCACTGTATTTGTGACAACGTGCACAGTGACACTTCCCAGATTTATAAAGTAAATAAAATCAACAGTGTCGCAGCACAAAAATAGCTGGTAGATTCGGAGCCTCACCTAGTTTCTCTTCAGGGAATCCTTCTCCTTTAGCTGCCAGATAGAGTCGGCAGGTTTCTACTTCCTGCTGTGCAAATGGAGGCCATTCTGGGCCTACGTGCCATTTCTCTGCAAACTCTGGGAGCCTCTGTACCGACTGCTTTGTCTCCAGATCAACATAAAATATCTCATCTTCATCGTGCTCTTTCTCAAGCTCCGCTTCGGTGGAATTAGACACGCAGAACGTCAAAAGTCGGTCTAGATGTCTAACTGAAACAAAAAAAGAATCCAGAATCAATCGATTTCACTGGTCACAATGAATTTATTTGGCGCAAAACCCTCCGATGTGCGGAACAGCAAATGATTGTACCGATGTCATGTTAGTGGGTGGAGAACATTAAGAAGAAACATTTGAAGCAGAAGAGGCAGCGAGACAGCCGTTTCCTCAAAACTCCTCCATCGTTCATGTGGAAACTCGCATCGGGTCCCCTCACAGTCCTCAAGACTAAATAGTCAAATAGCCAGTTCCTTCAGAATCTACCTGGCTGTCATTACCAAATCATAATTCATACTCTAAACGAGGCCTTACTCGTGAAGCACACAGTTGTAACAACAGCCCTTGATTTCAGTTCTACATTAGTATCTCTGTGTCCTGACTGTCTTTATTTCCAGATGATGTAAACATGACAGCATGAACACTATCTCTTTTATCAGCAGCCTCATCTAGCTCAGCGTTTCCCCATCTAGACTCTGGTCTAGTGAGTAAAACTGGCACATTCACACGTGATAAAAAACCAGGTTTAACAACGGCAGAAAAACAAATACAAGATCATTCAGACAAAACGTGTGGCTGTGAAGGAGAGATTTCCTTGAAGATTAAATTTAACAAGAGATGCATGCATGGTGGTATTGGTTTTGGTATTGATCTGAAAAAGGAACATGAGAAAGGTCAGCAAATTCACGTTGATCCCTTTATTCAAAGCGAGATTCCCTGAGAAGCAACACAAAACACCAGTATGGGAAATGTCCATTTTGTTTGCTATTTGTTTAATATTTTGTCAGTCATATAAAAATGGTTTTCTGCAACAGTTAGACCTCAGCTGTGTTCAGGTCACCTGTGCTCTAGAGGCAACATAGCGAGGTGCAACGAGATTTACTCCCAGACTCCGTTAAAGAACTGACTTCAGTCAGGAACAGAGAAGACTGCGAGAGGACTCGATTCTGGTCTGACAGGCAGTGACCAAGACAGCTCAGGAAACGTCTTCAAGATCCTCCGTGACACTGGGACCCAGGGACACAGGTGGAAAACAGGACTGGGAGCACATCCAGGACAGACAACAGGAGACACGTCTTCACACGGGGAAGGACTGGAGTCAGGAGCCAACTCCGAGATCATGTGGCAGAAGCTCTGACCCGCTGGGCATGAGGGAAATTCTGGACCATGAACCTTCTCTCATGGGAACATCTTTTCACTGGACTGGCTGCATTCAGTCTTGGGTAAACAGAAGAAAACATCAGACTCCTAACTGCAACTAAACGTAGCACTGGTGTAGCTACAACCACTGATCTTCCGACCTCAGCACAGAATCTGAGCCGGTCGGTCTTTGTGGCTCATCGCCTCCTCTCCGGCCCCCTGTCGGTTCGCTCAGGGACGAGATGACCTGGGGTTAGTCACGAAGGATCAGTGAAAATGTTATTTATCAAAAAATTGAATTCCTTTTTTTTCTCTCTCTAAAATCATCCAAGCATGATGAGTGTGGGGAGTCTCTTTGGATACTCAGGATATTTAGTGTTGCGAACTTCGTCAGATTAAAAATGTTTAAAAAGGGACATGCAGAGAAGGTGTGGTGCTCCAGAGCGCCCGATTTTGCTCTTTTGAAGTCTCACTATTCAGGTTTGAAAACAATGGCAAGTATAACGTTAATGAAGGAAGCATGACTTACTCTGAGCTTGCGAGAGGACACCGCTAGCTCCTAGCAGCACTGCGGTGAGGAACGCGCACAGCATCCTGCACGCGGTGAAGGAAGACACGGCCCCGGCTTTCCAGCGAATCCACAGGCGAGTGTGTGGGACCCGAGCAGAGCACCCCCCCAGGCCAGCAGCACTCCGGAGCAGTGGCTCGACAGGGCTGCCTGCTGCACTTTTGAAACACCCCTACTTCCCTTACAGCCAATCAGACAATTCCTCAAGCACGGACCGCCAGTTACTAGGTACAGGGGCTGTGAGCTAACCGAGCCAATATCCGTCTGCAGAACTCTACCCACGCAGCCCAAGACGCAGTTATCATCGGTACTGCCTTCAGACCCTGATATAAAAAGACTTCAGTGACATTACGGGTCTTTAGTCCACCTATTCTACATTCCACTTTACAAAGTGTAAAACTTTGTACAATTCATCATGAACTGCTGTCGTCGGGCAGTTCTCTGATCTAAGAGAAAGGTTTTTTTTTAGTTTGAAAACATTTTTTTTAAATTTCCGTCAAGTGCCACACGAAAGAATAATTATGTGCGTGTCAAATAATTTCTAAAATTGTCTGTGGATCCCTCTGGTGGCAGGAGGGGGACATCATTGATGTTCTTGCATCTTCGATTTTACCATAACGATCTATATTTAAAATACTGAGATGGCATGAAATACACATCACAGTAAATCTGGCTCAGTTCAGTCCCTGAGACCCCAGTCCTTCAGGGGCTCTGGGGGTCTTCAGTCAGGGGTAAAAGGTCACTGGGACTCTGGACTCATGAAG